TTAACATCCAGCTCTGTCTTCCATGTGAGAGGGTTAACATCCAGCTCTGTCTTCCATGTGAGAAGGTTAACATCCAGCTCCGGCTCCAGGTGGTTGCCAGAAGCTCCTGCTGGTAAGAAGGACTGGAGAACTTTTACCATCCCATGACCTCTGAGATCCTTGCCAGAGTGTCACCATCACCTGAATGACAAGGTCCCATCCCCAAGTCTTCACTCCAGTCAGCAGCAAGGGGGAAGAGAGGCTGTGGTGGCCAACCCTGTCCCCTTAAAGGCAGGCCTAGGCCTGGTCACATGCCACTCCTGCCCTGCGGGGCCTGGGTAGTGCTGTGGGCACTGGAAGGCCACGTGCCCAGCAGGGACTCACTGGCTCTTGTTCTAAAAGAGGAAAGAGTGTGGATGTTGAGGCCAAAGACAAGACTCTGCTGTTGCACCTCCCAATAAGAGCTCTCTCTAATTTTATTTGACTTCCTTCTAACTCCTCTGTGTCCAGCCCCCGTGGTCCATAAGGTTTCTGTGCTGATCTCTGGCATATGGGGGTTGTGAGTGGCAGCTCATATTTCACTTTTTATAAACTTCTAAGCTTTGCCTCCACCAAAGGCACAGGGTCTAGTACGAGCTGAGTGCTCAGTATTTGTTCCCAAAGTCCATTTCCCTGAGCCTCCAATGCTGCCATTGTGAAGGGGACCTCACCCTGGCTGCAGATGCGGGCCTCCAGTCTCTACCTCCATCATCACCTAACAGTCTCCCCTGTGTGTCTCTCCTGTCACTTTTCTCCTTAAGGACATCAAGGACCCACACACTCCAGTGTGACCTACCCATCCTGATTTATGCCACTATCGCATCTGCAAATACCCTAATTCCAAACAAGGTCACGTTCACAGGCACAAGGGCTTAGAACATCAATGTCTCTCTTGGACACACAACAAACCTCAGCGAGGGCCTGCCACTCACAGTCCCACCCTCAACAGACCTCCAGAGGCCCTGTCCTTTCTCTCTTTAGGAAGGCACAGTCCCCCAAATAATCCAGAAGCACACCTCATGGATGCCCATGTGGCCCCATGCGTTCCGTCCCCGGGGGCAGCGTCTACTCCATGAGATAGCACGTGCCCCCAGTCGTGGGGGTTTGTTGGTGTGTTAGTAAGATCGTGCACATTTGGAGTGCCAGACGCGTGGTTTGAGATCCCCATGCACCACAGGATGGCTGCACCAAGCTCGTGAAAGAACACTTTGACCCTACCTGCCGCGGTTCTCAAGTGCACAGGGAGTAGGTGGTTAGCAGTTGCAGCACTGCGTGGGGTGGCCTTGCTTGTCCCTGCAGGCCCCACTCCGCCTCCAGCCCCTGGCGACGGCCATGCCCCCTTGGCTGCTGCGGCTTGCCCTTTCTCAGGCTGCACCTCCCCGGGAAGCCGAGCGGTGCTGGCTCTCTGTCTGCTCATCCACTGGCCTGAGGTCCCCGGCTCCATCCAGTTGCCACCAGGGCAGGGTTTCCTTGCCCTCAGGTGGGTTGTCCCTAACAGGCTGCACCCCAGCCCTGCCGAGCTTCCCACCCCAGCACGCACCGACTCTGCCCAACCCGCCAGCCCTGTGTCAACAGCACTGCCACCACATCCTGGGTGCTGCCCTGCACACCCCCAAAGACTGCCTGAGGAATGGGAAGGAGCCATACTGGTGGATACTGGTGGCCGTCTCTCAATCTGCACTGGCCAAATGACCTCCAGGGGTGAAGACTCCCCTGTATTGGACTGTTCTTGACCCCCTTGAGCCCAGGGGGTTTGTCCTCTTGTCTGGCCCATAGCACGGTTTGGAATGAAAAGCACTTTAAATCATTGCTTTGATAGGGAGGGAAGGCAACAGCCCCTTCTGCGGTGAGCCAAGCCGCGTGGACACAGGGGCCTCTTCACAAGAGAAAGGTGGCCATGGACGAGCAAATGTCCCCAAGTGTGTCTTCCTTTTTGATACTTAAATCGTCCCCCAGCAGATCAGGGAAGGCGAGGGAAAGACACCTCCTCTCCTTGGCCTGAGTTAATGGTACTTGCTCAGAAAGGCCAGCTATTGATTCTGTTCCCAGGCAAGTTTCAAGCAATTAATTTAGTTGATGAAATAGGGAATTTCCCCCTCTGTCTTCAAATCTCTGTTCCTCAACTACATTATTTGGTGTGTGGCATTTAAGCAACTGCCTCATTAAGCTAGTGTTCCTGAGGAAAATGTTGCAGAATAGGGACATTCATAATTAATGCTGTGAAGTCAGGATTTCATCTGCCCAGGCCTTCCCCCTAGTTTCTTACACTTAATTATCTCTGTAATGAGCGACCACCACACAGAAAATGAACACGCCAAGGAGCGATGTGGCAAAGCACACGTAGGGGAATACAGTTATAGGCTTTGGGGGCCACCTTTGGCGTCAGAACACCTTTCCATATGCCACTGTGGCATTGTGGCTGGATTAAAGGAACAGGCACTGGTCCCCGGGTGGGCAGCAGACGTGTGTCGTTCCCCAGGGAGGTGGGCTCAAGGTCTGCCCCACGCCTACCTTGTGTAATCTGCACCCAGATGCTCTGAACAGTGAATTGAGCTCAGAGGAAATATCCTGCGTGTGTCGGTGGAATTGACAGAAATCATTCTGCACCCAGCTCAGGCCTCCACCCCTCTTCTCGGCCTCCTGGGTCCATGGGTGGCCCTCCCTGTCTATTGCTGGTCAGGCTCGAGCAGCTGAACCTCCCTCTGGTCCAAGGGCAGGTCCAGACACCAGGTGTTCACAAAGGTGGTGGAGAGGAAGCGGGGCCTCCCTTGCCTGGCACCCTGTGAGCGGGCATGTTGGATGGCACAAGAGTGGCCTAGTCATGCCCAGGGCAGACGATGGTCACCGCTGGTCCTGGAGGCTGCTCGGGTTCAAGGAGAAGGAATGGACGGGCAGCGTCCTGGGGTGCCTGGCCATCAGGGCCGTGTCTGCCCGGCCTTTCCTCCTTCATGGAGCCTGGGTTGCCGCCAGCCCTGCTTCTCCACTCAGCCTTCCCTGAGCTGGATTTGCTCCACCGCTGACCACAGAAAGATGGGCTCCCTTCCGCCCTGTCCCTCCGACTCTGCTCAGTCACCATGATTGCTGGTCACCCCTTCCTCCAGCCTGCAGGGCAGGAGTGACTGAGCAGAATCACCACAGATTGCATTCAAAGGTGCCGATTTTTCCAGCAGACCAGGTGCTGGAGTCTGATACTCACAGTGCCAGGTGACTCCGCGCACAGTCACTTCTGACCCTGTCCTCCAGCTGCCAAAGGCTCTGGCATATACTGTAGGAGGCCTGAGACTCCTGCAGACCTGAGACTCAGCCACCCTGCTCCTTGCTGCTCCTTCCCAGCCCTGTCCCCACAGACAGTGGCAACACTTCTGAGGAGCTGGGAAGATGCCCAAGGTCACAGCATTGCAGGTGGAAGGGACCTTAGGGCTGCTGTACAGCCCCTAGTGTCACAGATGGGGCATCGTGACACTAGCACAGGACTCAGGGCCCTGTGTCCACTCTCCTTTAGCTCTGTGCTGCAGCCTGGAGCACCCCTGGTGGCAGTGGGGGGGCAGTGTCCTCTCCACGGGCTCCGTGCACCCTGAGGCTCTGCTGTTGGGGGCTGGGGTTGTCCCATGCCCACGTCACATTCTGCAGGGAGTCTCCCTGGGCTGCCTGCAGGAGGGTGCTCTAGAAGACAGGGAGGAGCTGTCTGAAAGGAGAAGAGCACATAATGAAGCTCATAATTCCTCCACCCGAAGGTGCCCGGGACATGGGGGGGGGGAACAAACCCCCACCTCGCGGCCTCCGGGCTCCGACACCCGGCAGTGAGACCCACTGTGTGCCTGATGGGGGTGGGCGACTGGGAGGGCCTGCGTCCTCCTGGAGCGTCTTCACCCCCATCTGTTCTCAGACCCCCAGACCCGGAGGCTGGCGCCAGCTCCCAGTCTCCCTGCTGTGTCCCCCCAACAACCATGTCCTCCCGTGGCGGCCACCCCAGCTTCCCTCCAGCCTGTCCCCACTGAGGACATGCACACGATCTTTCTCATGCATCCTCGGGTCCTTGATGCCTCCCAGTCCTGCAGGGCCCAGCAGGCTCATGATGCACCCATCCAGTGCAGCCAGACTCCTGTGTGCTATGATGTGGACAATCATTCCAGAAGAAAACCCAGAAAGGGCTGGCTCACATGACAAGGTTCCCTTTCTCACAGAGAGCCTCCTGACCTGTGAGCGGTCAGCACCGTGACGGCCGCTCTGACTCCAGGCATTCTGACTTGGAGCATTGGAGGTGTCTGCCCTTCTGTGCTGCAGCCTGGGGCTGCAGTAGAATTTTCCTTCTGGATTGGATTTCAGACACTAGGAGACCCGTCTGTAGGCGACACTGATTAGCCACGTCCCTGTGGGATGGGGCTGAATGACAGGTGCTTCCTGCTGAGCCTCAAGTCACCTTCCCACCTGAGTCCTTTCTAAGATGCCCCTTTGGCATTCTTCAGCCAAACAGTGAAGCCACGCCCTCTGTTAAGGTGAGGCACACCTGGCCTTTAACACATTCTGTCTCCTCCGGGCTGAGTCTTAGGGGGCTGTGTGTCTGTGCGCATTCCCAGGAGGACCGTCCTTCCTCACTGGTTCTGTCCAGATGTGCCACACCAGTGTGAGCTGACTTCCTCTAGTTCTGTTATTAAAATAACCATCTCCAACATAGAATAGTAGTTCCACTCAAAGGCACTCATGAGCAGAGAAAGGGTTTATAAAAGTGTAACAATTATAATAATGGGAATATGAAATTGAAGAAGATAATTAAAATATAATGATGACCAGCTTTCTCTAAAAAGCATTCCTTAGGCTCATAGTTCTCAAATGCAGACACTTCCTGGGCCGCCATGGAACACCGGTGTGGGGACACTGCAGGGTCCCTGCACAGATGTGCAGCCCGCGGGTCCAGCCACCCGAGTGACCCTGGCTCCGCCCCCTGGCTGCCTGCTCATTGCGCTCTCCTTTGTTTCCCTCAGAGGAGATTCTGAAGACCCACATCGCGCACTGGTGGTCTCCCGATGGCACGAGGCTGGCCTATGCCACCATCAACGACTCCCGTGTCCCCCTCATGGAGCTGCCCACCTACACGGGCTCCGCCTACCCCACCGTGAAGCCCTACCACTATCCCAAGGTGAGCCGAGCGCCAGGAGCCGGGCCCTGAATGGTTCATGAGCCCCGGGCGCCCAGGAGCGAGGTGATGGGTAATCAGGCCTGTTGGTGAGCAGTGCCGTAGACACAGGCAAGATCAGTCACTTCTCATTATGTTGCATTAAGTTCCCATCTTTGTTGCGTGGAATTCGTTGGCAGGTTTACTTTACTTCAAATAATTGAGTGACTGTTCATCATTTGCCTGAGCTTTCCTGGAACCACAATAAATACATTGCCCTCACCATGACACTGGGTGACAAAAATCGTGGTGCCACACTTCCTCTTCACGAGCCTTCGAGGACATGACTTCTGAGAAGTCCGAACAACTTCTGGCTGTCCCTAGGAGGGGCTGGCCAGCGTACCTTGTGCTTGGTCACTGCTGTGGTCTGGAAGTTTCTATCCCCCAACGCACATAGTGAGACCCTTGCCCCAGGGTGAAGACATTCGGAGGTAGACCTCCTGGGTGAGGTCACCTCCAGGTGACCACCTAGGAGGTGACCAGGCCATGAGGAGCCCTCATAACTGGGATTAGTGCCTCATAAAGGAGGCTCTGGAGAGGTGACCAGGAGAGGACCCAGTGACAAGGCCCATCTGTGTGGACGGGGCCCTCACAGACCCCGAGTGCCAGCACCTTGATCCTGCGCCTGCAGCCTCCAGAACTGAGGGAGACACATTGCGGTGTTTAAGGGCTCCCAGTTTGGGGTGCTTTGTTACAGCAGCCTGAGTGGATGAGGACCGTCAATTTCTGACCCAAAGAGCAGCAGAACACCCAGGGTTCTCTGCAGGCACGGGCATCCAGACTCACTTCATTACGACACAGCCTTAACCCGCAAGGGAGGGCCTGGTCTAAAATGTCAGCCCACTCACCTGGGGGAGGCTGAGGCCAGCAGTGGGATGCGGCTCCTGTCCACTGGCTCCAGCCGTCACTGGCCACTGAAGGGAGCCCCTCCCTGCCGGGCCTCACTGCAGCCTCTGAGAGCCAGCAGTGCCTGCCCCTCCCCCGAGAACTCCCTGCACCTAGCAGCCTGTGGCTCGCTGCCCAGGAGCGATGCCGTGGGTGGACGTTCTCCACCGCTCGCTCTCCCCGTGGCTGGGCTGCGTGCACCTTGCCCATCTCGTCTTCCCCTTCCCGTGACGGTGTGCCGAGGCCAGCGGGACTCGCTTGACCTCAGCAGAATGAGCCTGTTGGACGGAATGGGAAGGGGCAGGTGCTCTGGGAAGGGAAAGAATTGTCCTGGTTTTCTCCTTGCTCACTTTAAAGTTCCACCCGTGGCTGGCCTGTCCACATGGTGAAGGCCACGCCTAGTGCTGCGTTCCGCCCTCCTGCGGCCCCACATGTGCCTCTTCTGGGAAGGGTCTGCAAGGCTGGGCGCTCTGCAGCATGAGGTCACTCACTCCCGTCTCCGCCCTTGGCTCCACAGGCCGGCAGCGAGAACCCCAGCATTTCCCTGCACGTCATCGGCTTGAACGGACCCACCCACGACCTGGAGATGATGCCCCCTGACGATCCACGGATGAGGTCTGTGTTCTTCCCCCTCGTGGGTTGGAGGAGGATTGAGATGAAAGTCACTGTGTGGTCTCCCGGGGACCAGACTTGTGCATGTTCTAAAGTGTTCCTACTGCTTTATGATCGGGTTCCTGAGGGGAGAAAATAGTGAACCCCAGTCAGCAGGTGCCGCAGCTCAGCCGACATCAGGAGCGCTGGCCCCCGGGAGGCTGGGCTTTTCCCAGAGGGCCATGTCTCGGGTGGGTGGCACTGATTGCACGTGGCACACGCTAGATGGCATTCCCTGGTGCAACCTCCCCAGAAAGTCCCATGAGGCAGAATGTTTTCAAGTGGTCCCCGCGTCTGGAGCAGCCCCAGAGGGCGTCTGTAACTGACCAGCTCCCGCTGGGGCTGGTGATTCCCGCCTTTCTCAGGCCAGATCTCCCACTGGGGACAACCCCAGAGCACGTCAGCCATGTCACTGACGTGTTCTTATCAGTATCTGGTTTGGTAGGTTTTTTGTTAAGTCAAAACAACTGAGTAGGATCTGCCAAAGTGGAGCCTCCTCAGTATCAGTTCAGCTTTGCCCCCAAATTCAAGCAGCCGGGGGCTGATTACACCACCAGTGTCCAGTTACGTCCCAGGTGGACCTTCCTCTGTTGAGACTATGGGTGGAGACTCCAGCAGGGGGCAGCGCGGGGTGCTGGGGGTCCGCGCGTCCACAGGTCCCCACAGCACTGCAGAGGGGCCTGCTTATGCCCCAACTCATTCATTCATGGCTCCGCAAACATCCAGCGCCAACTCTGTGTCCCTCCAGCCTGGCTCTTCGTCATTATCAGAACCTTCTGGCAACTTCTAAAACAAGAGGCCGGGCCCTCTACTCTGGCTCCCGACAGGTCTAGCTCAGTGGTGGATGCCAGCACCCTCTGAATGGCCTTCACCGCTGTCCTCACCCAACCAGGAACCCGCCCAGAGCCGGAGCTCCCCGCTCTTCGCCCTTAATGGGGCCTGAAGCCGCGGTCCTCAGGAGGGCAGAGCGGGCACAGGGCTGCTGTCCATCAGGGCTGCTGCTGCCCTCTCCCTGCCCTGGATTGTTCCTCCCCCTCCCACAGGAGGACCAACGTCTCCCCAGGGAGGAGGTGGACCTGGCCCCCGGCAGCTGCCCCAGGGCCTGGCTCTGCCCATCTGTCTTTGGCAGGCTGCCCTCCGTGTGCGCTGCTCAGAGGAGTCGAATCAGCTTGGCTGATGATGTTTTTCTGGGATAAAACAAAGTTCAGATTATGACTTTGGCTCCTCTCCTGAAGACCCACAGATCTCACTGTTCCCATCCCCGCCAGCCTCCCGGGGCCTGGTCCAGCCAACTCTCTGAATTAATAGGGAAAGTCACCTGGAAAATCTCAGCCATCTGTTGGAGTTAATTGAAAGTCTCATTGAGTCAATTTGGTGGTGCTGTTTCCGCAGGCATGATTAGCTTCAAGGACAATGAGAAATCAGCCCCAGTCAGAGCTCGAAGTTTGGGTGCTGGCTGTTGGACTTTGGGCTCAGCTAAACGAGATGACGTGTTCCACAAGCATTAGGAATCTGTGATGAGCAGATGTCACTTCCCTTACTGCTTCTCTGTCTGTCGCACATCCTGAGACCTTAAAGGCGAGCAGGGGTAGGTCAGAAAGCAGAGACCAGAGGCAAGCAGACAGCTGGTGTTTGCCATCAGGAAACCGAGCACCAGAGTTCAGAGCCATGAAACTGCAGCTGGCAGGGGAAAGGGGTGAGACTTGAAGGACCGTCACTAGTAAGTAAAGGATCGCAGGTGTGAGAAGAGCCAGGATGCAGGGCATGTCTCAAGAGGAGGCCACCCCCTAGAGATGACAGTGTCACCGTTAAGCCAGATGTCCCAGCCTCAGCACTGCTGCATTTGGGCCCTGAGGAGTCCTTGCTGGGGGCCTGCCCTATGCACTGTAGCCTCTCCACTCGTCACTAGAGCTTCCAGGCGATGACCCTGGCTTAGGGGGATGTTCTCCAGCCGACCAAAGGGTTCAAGTTGTAGTTCTGTGACTCGGGCAAGTTGCCCAGGCCTGGGGATAGCTCAGTGGCAGAACCCTTGCCTACCACTAGCCCACGCAAGGCCCTGGATTTATCCTCAGCCTCACTAAAAAGCAAAACAGAAAAGCGTTTCCTGTCATCATGGTTGTGGGGACTACAGACATGGCACAGAGCACAGGGCAGGCTCGAGGGCTCATCCAGGCTCCTGGGCAGGTGTCTGGGAAGGGAAAGAATTGTCCTGGTCTTCTCCTTTCTCTCTTTAAAGTTCTACACTGTGTTCTTGAGAGGCGACAGCTGTGGCCCTCACGGCTCCACCTGACCTGTCTGGGAACGTCAGCCACGCGGAGCTAACCGGCTGTCCCAAGTGTCCTCTGGGCATGGTTGAAGGATGGTTATGTTTAGTGATTCTCGGGCACAGTGAAGGGACACAAGTCACAGCTTTACTTGTAATGGACAAGGGAACCAGCAAGGAGCTAGAACCAGCCCCAAGGGCATTTGAAGAGCTCGGGTACAGGGGTTAACAGGGAAGCACAAGGCTGGGTGACTGGGCCACCTCGGGGGACAGCATCCCCAGGTGCACCCTACCCCCACAGAGCTGAAAGTCGCCTATCCGTCCGCCAGCCCAGCGTGCTCTGCAGGCACACCCATGGCCCTGTGCCCCTTCACAAGGTCCAGAACGTCTTCTGACAATTTCTAAACAGCAGCTCAACCTGATCAAGTCAAAGCAGAGCCGCTGTCCCCCGCACCCACGCAGCCGTCCAGGGCAGCTCCACCTCCAGACCTGTCCCTCCCAGCTGCCCACCGTCCTTGGCAGGGGCCCCCTCCTGCAGGTGCCTCCCCTCTGGCCCACAGGTCCCCCACCTGGCCTCCGATCCGTCCCAGCCAACCCCCAGGGAGGAGCAGAGTGACCCTGTAAACTGCACCAGGTCACAATGAGCAGATGTGGCCCCCTCTTCTCTCAGGTGACAACCAAACCTCTGCCACGGCCTAGAAGCCTCAGTCATGGGACCCTCCCATCCCGCGACTCCCGGCCCTGCTCACCAGG